TTATTTCCTGCAGTATATTTTTTATTTGCTGCAGTATATTTTTTGTTTGCGTTGAGCCTTCAGGGCCACCGTACAAAGTTGATTACAAAAGACTTGAGAGGAAAAAGACCTTAAACCGTTTTGTTCGAACCAAACATAGCGCAAAACAGATTAAGATAAAAGGCGGGAAAGTGTGGAAACGAGGTAAAATATTTGATATCCCATGGTTCTCTCTGGGCTTGTGTGCACAAGAAGAAAAAAGATGGCAACTCCTGAGGAGCTCAGCTCTGCAGCAGATTCTTTTGATGAAAGTAACTCTGTTAGTAGTACAACTTCATTCCGATCCTCCTTTACTTCATTCCGATCCTCCTGTACTTCATTGTCTCTCACAATGGATAGCAACTCCGAAAGGGTAGAGGTTTTTAAAACCCGTTCTCGAAAAAGAAATAACTCGCAAACGGCTAAGAGGGTTAAAATACCAAAAGAGAAGATTACTTCCTATCAACCGCAGGTCACCTTCTCCGGCTCCAGTTGAAACAGAAAAAAGTACCTCCGATCTTGAGGTCGTAGATGCTGGGGAAGAACAGAGAACAAAGGAAGGCTACTCATTAGAAAAAGCCCACTTCGGTATGTACAGCACCGACAAGTTACGAGGATGAAATGGACAATCAAGTACGTCTGCATCTGATGGAGAGAAAGATTCATCTGGTGATGAGCTCTCCTCCTTGTCGTCATTTATATCAATTATGTCTGGTGATGAAACTTTAAGTGAGCCTGAAGACATTGAAAGTATGCCGGGCGATCTTAGCCATACTAACAACAATTAGGAGCTCGAGCAAGATCGCTTAGATGATTTCACAAAAGAGGCGTTGTATGAGAGTGCAAGCTTATCGGTATTTGAATGCTGCACTCTTGTGATGCTTTTCATCACCAAACACCGCCTTACAAAAGTGGCTCTTCAAGACCTCCTCTACCTCATCCATCCAGACTGTGGGACCCTCTGTAGGATGTAAAATGGTGACTTCAATTGACCGTCTCAATGGATTGTTTACCAAATTTTTTGGTAATAAAGCGGACACTCTTCACTAAATGTGTTAGCATTGTGGAAACCTTTTAAAACAGTGGAAAGCTTTTAAAACAGGGCAAAACACGATGCACTGCCTCTAGAGGTTGTAAAGAAGCAGGAACTGTGACATTTGCAGAGTTGAATGTTGAAGAAAAACTAAGAGAATTGTTTTTTGGTGAGACAAACTTTTTATTGTTGTCAGGACTATATCTAATGAATTACTGTATGCACATGGGGTATGGCCTGCTAGTTTACACATTGTTCACATAATTTTTGTAATGGAATGAAATCAATTCCCCATTCAGATCTTAAAGATTGCGTGGAATTTGTATGTTTACCTAGTTTGGGCATGTTCCAAGGCATTAGTATCAGACTGTAAAGTGTAACCTGTCGAAGGTCATTTTTATAAATTTTTCACATCAGCCCCTTTTTAATGTGGATGCATAGCACTGCATCCTTTAAACATTTCACAGCCTGACTTGCGTTTATATTATTAAAATCTTTTTATTAGACTAAAGTTCCCTTTTTGTCATAGATGCCAAATTCTGCAGTCTTATATTACAATCACCAAGAACTGCATCTGGAAATAACTGCTTACAGGATATATATGATGGAAATCTGTATAAACACCACAATTCCCAGGAAGATTCATTTCTCCAGTGCCTTGGAATATTTATTTTACTCTAAACACCAATGGAGTGAGTGTATTGTCTTCCTCAAAGAAGGGGTATCTTTGGTCAGTGTGTTTAGCCATCAATGAACTTCCCATTGAGCAAAGGTAGGAAAAACAGACCTGACCACATGCAAGTATATGTGATGTATGTATCTTTCCTGTGCTTATCCAACAACATGAACACAGATTTTGTTTCAGGAAAAATCCAGTTTGATGCAAGATAAATTTTTTTCATCATTGTAATTATTTATTCAAAGTTTATTTGTACAAGACCTATTGTAATAAGACAATTGAAATTTGCATTCTAATACAGAAGAGAGCATCTTCTTATGATTTGCATACCATAAGAGCTTAATTTATGTTTGCTTATATTTCCAAAGGTACAGCAAAAAGTACCTCATCCCAGCCCTTCTTTACTGTCATAAAGGGACCCCAAACATGCATTCCCTTTTAATGTGACTTGTTTGTTACTTCATCTTACTGACATTGTTGCCACCTTGGATCCATTATGGGCCTATTCCTGCTTTTGATTTGAAGGCATGAATGCTGTGTAAAAGAATTTCATTCATGGAACAGCCAAAGGTATTTGACAGGTTAATATAACTGCTATTTTTGTTTCAACTAAATTCTAAATTAAGTACTGAATGGAGATATTGTTTGAATATATGCATGTAACTTATACAACTAATATCCTGTACAGGCATTCTTTGTACACATCACACATTACCCTACTGTGGTAAGTTCATCAGTGTGCAGCACAGAACAGAAATCTCTAATAGTATTGAGTACTTATAAGAACTTTATACTGATTATTTCACTTTCAGTAATAAAACCGCTAGTTTAAAAACCAAATACCCGATTATCCTCTGTATCTAAATGACCCAAATAAGCAATAAGCCTGAACTGTTTTACTTGTATCCCTATTACAGTGCTAGTAAATTCCAAGGGGAAGGAAGCAAATCGAACAGGGATTCATATGCGTAAAGGAAAACAAACAATCCAAATATGGCTGCTATGTTATGTCAATTCTTATTGCATTTCATCACTTGTAGGTATCACTGGCCTTGGGAATGCTGGACAGACTTCCAAATCTATGTTTGGAATTAACTAACAGAGCTAGCATTGCAGATGAAGTCAAGACAATGATCAGAAAATTGACTGTGACTGAGAGGAGGTGTGTGTTAGAAAGAATTTGACATGTAAATATTAATCACCTATAACCAATTAATGTTAATGTGTATTTTTTTAGATACATCTTTATGGTGTCAATGGTGTACTTAAGAGGGTTTAGTGAACTTAAGACTCGACTAACAAGAATGACAGTAAGAAACGGCTCCTTTTGGTATTTCAGGATTAACATCACACACCAGTTTGAAAGCTCAACGGCCGTTGGAAAGGTGATAGAGGCAACCTTAGATCCAGAGGCTTTGGTACCAGTAAACCTACTTTCAGAAGACATGGGATTACAGGCTTTGACAGGGGAAAGCAGAGTGAAGCAGTGCGACTGAATGCACATAAATCAGCAAGTGTTCTATTCATCACAGTATCCTCGCACAAACTCAATGAATTCTTATACTGTTGAGTTTAGAAACTGTAATGGTGTTCTGCTCTATGGTGAAATTTTGACCCACATTATTGTAAACGACAAGGATCCAATAGCCATTGTTAGACCCTTTAAAGTGACTGAGAAGTGTATTCTTGATGTGGATAAGGAGGTAAAAAACCACAGAGTTTTAAAAAAGTATGTATGGCCAAGGAGTGACAAAGAAAAACTAGCTACACACATCAAGCTAGTAGATTTAAGTAACAAGTACCTAAACCTCACAGCAATACGTGTAACCAACATAATTAAAAAGTGTGTGTATGCTGACAAAACAGGGGGAAGGATATGCTCCAATTTCTTCCTTTCCAAACTTGGTGGAGCATGATTGAAGGTCCGGATGACTCAACAGTGTTTTAAAACTAATTATCATATGCAAGAAATGTATGGTCTTTCCCAATGAGTAGAACAAAAGAAGCAATTCACACAAGACTTTTTTTCAAATAACATGGAAAAGTAGGATTGATGATCTGTAGCCTGCATGTCTACAGTCAAGTAACACAACAGGTAATCGCTAGAACAGTGGACTATTTAGGGGCCACTTGCCAGAAAACAATTGTTGATGATCAGTTATCTACAGCTCACCTGAGTAATGATGACAAAAATTATTTTGTCAATTGCAGCCAGCCAAAGCCATCCATATCCCATACTAACTTTAGAAAAAGGAAAGCTTACCTAATGAGACTCACAGGCCCGTTAGCAATAACAAGATAGTTCAAATGTTCTGCTTTTCTTCGCAAGTGGCTTCATCATTAGCCTGTGTCGCAGAAGTGATTTAACAGCTACAGGTGTCATGTACTACTGTACATCATGAGACAAACTATAATACACTTTCTACAGTGATATCTGTAAATGGAATTAGGAATTAAAGTTTGCTCATGTAAACAGACCTGCCATTTCATTACCTAATAAGAAGCTCTAAGCTTGTATTCGTCAGCTCAACAGAATAACACTATAATAACAGGTGTGATTTGACTATCACGTCAAACTCACAGTTTACATGTCACACTTCAGAACGTGTGATTTTTACCAAAACACACATAAAAAGTGTGATTAAAAGTGTGATGAAGTGTGATTTCAAGAATCACACTTCTATCTATCACACTTTCAATGTGTGATCACACATTTATTTTTGCATGGAGCCTCTTGACAAGAAACGAAGCACTTCCTTTCATTTTCTCCATGTTCGCTGCTGTAACAAAGGCATCCTAAGTTTACTGCAAGGGATGGTATGCTTCAACAGCGCGATTTGAAGGAAAGTCCCGGTCTTAGATCGAGTAGATATTCACGAGGCGTTATGAATTCGTAATACTCATGTATACCTTTATTTTGATTTTAAGCAGATATGTTGTAAACCTTTTGTATAATTACTCCCTGATCTGATTCAATTTTTTTTTCTTGTTTCTCGTTCTTTCGATTTGGTATAACTGCTCGGGAAAGAAATAACATACCATGAAAGTGAAACGAAGAGCGGTTCTTCTCTCCGTTGTGACTAAATGCCCGGCATTCAAAATTTTCACAGAATTTGTATTGAAAGTTTCTTCCACACTTTTAAGAAAATTAGATCAGTTTGTTCAGAAAACTCCTGACTGTCGGGCATTAGGTCCATTTAAGACCGTGCTCAGAAGTCTGGTTAGAAGCAACTGAGCGGTATTAGAATGTGCAAGCTCAGAGAATTTGTCTACCAAATAAACTAAATCTTAGACCACTTTCATAAATGGCTGCCGTATAAATATTCTTTTGTTTAAATTTAAATTAGCCCTTCTGGCCTCGCTTGAGATAATGTATTCTTTTGAATTTTGTACTGGAGAACGAGACCAGTAGGGCTAATTTAAATTTAAACAAAAGAATATTAATCCAGCAACCATTTATGAAAGTGGTCTTTGGAATCGCTCGACATTTTTTAACAAACATCGGATACTCTTAAGAAGTTTGAAGGAACTTTTCAGCAGCATTTTGGTGAGAATTCTTTCTGACTGCCAGGAATTTATCTATTCGAGACCGTGCTCGATTGCCGGGCATTTAAAAGCACACACAACCCACAATTCTTCTATTCGCTCCGACGAAGGGCTAACTCTCGAAACGTTAGCTTTTATAATCGTAACGGTGGTCAATTTACCATTTCAACTTTGTTGATATATTCAAATTATTTCGTTACCCCCACCGACGCAGCCCCAAACAGTTTCTTTAGAAACTATCAGCCTTTACTCATTTATTAGTAGTCAACTAAATAAATATTAAACAACTTTTTCGCCACTGCGAAGAATGAAGTCTAAACATCGAAATACCACAGTCCAATCATACTGGCGAAACAAACCCATATGTTGACTTATGTTTTGTCTCCACAAGAAAACCTCAAAATTTATTTTTTTTACACGTCGCCCCCAGTGGGCATGAAAATATCATAAAGAAGTATACCATATGCTTGGGAGTTGTAGTAATTGTTTCTTCCGCAATCGTCAGTTGGAGGTGAAACCGATAGCAAGATACTAGCCTAAGGGTAGAGTGATCTAAAGCTTTCGCATTAACTTGTAAGTTATTCCTGTTCGTATATCTATGCACCGCAAATGGTCTCGTTTAGGGAACGCGATTGATTTCTGTCTGTTATCAGTTGTTCAAGCTGCTCCTAGCATTAATTTGTAGTTCCTAGACTGCCGCATTCAAAATCCCATAGCACTTCACGTCTGCGTAATCAGCGCGTCCTCGGTACGCCGGTCAGCGCATCAAGCCAAGAAAATTGCCACAAACATGAATGAAAAGAAAAGACGACGGAAAGCACATTTAGAACTGACCCCATCCTAAAATAAACTATCCTCTGTGGGGAATTAGTGAAGAGCCCACACTGTCACTGTTTATTTCCAGAATGTATTGGTCAAAAAAGCAGGCAGAACAACGTTACGCGAAGTCTCTGACCGACTAAAAACTACTCACATTGATTTTCTCAACTCATGAACACACCTTGATCAAAACGTAAGTTGATTGGCTATAAAGTTCTTCCCAACAAAGATAAACAAACTGGTTTATCGGAGCGGACAGATCGTGACACTCGATTTCCGGCAGATATTTGACTCGTTACAATACTAATTATCCTGTTTCCGACACCTCTACTTCAAAAACGTCACTGCGAATGTTTGTTCGCTTCAGTATTTCCTGTTTCTCTGTAGTACAGGCATGTCGGTACGTATTGGTATCATATATTTCCCTTTTTCCAAAGCCAGCAAGATGTTTGCTTTGTTCAACTTTTGGCTCATGTCACAACACGCATTTCCGTTCGTAAAAGAGGTTTATGGTAGAGTATACGAAACGTCTCTATATGAAAATGAAAGTAAAATTGTAAAAAAGTAATTGTAAAAGTAATCACTTGTACCTTATTGTGAAGACTTTACGATTTGTTCAACCAAAAAGTAAGGAAGATACTGGGCTGTTTCAAAGAAGGCTGAAACCAAGCTCTTGTCAGTGATTGCTGGATGTCTTTAGACACATAAAAGGTCTCCTGTAAATCAAATGTGTTTAAAGTCCCTTTTATCACTTTTGGATTTCTTTTTGGGTCTTCTATTTTGCACTATAAGCCCATTGCACTGGTGTACTGCTGGAAATTATACCGATCTAAGCACCTTTTCTGAAAGACCCTAAAACGTATTGTCCATCCGCCGCTGCTAAATTGTTGTGATAAGGTCGATCGCTAACTTCAACCCTTTCAAAGCTATGAATTAGTGGACAAAAATTCGCTCTCAAATAATAAAAAAGACGGCTCATGTCTAGGATAAAAATTCATTTCTATGGAATGTCGTAATGCTTTTCTAGACATTACAGCTGCGTCCAAAAATGTTTCTTTCCTGTTGGAACAGGATACGCCTTGCACGCCTGCTGCACCTTTTTTATCACTATTTTAAAACATTTTTTTATAACTTTCATCAGTATTTAGACGCCACCTTCCTTCTTTGATCCGCAAGGAGTTCATGAAAAGTCAAAACATGATTTTAAGCTGCTGTGATGACCATGTGATTGCAATGCAAGAGGCTTAGTTCGTATTACAGAAAAATGTCAGTTGTAAAGACAGAAAGTCATGGTTTAGTTAGCCCTGCAGTCGTTTTCGCAAACTTTTTCCACTTTCAAGAAGTCTTCCATTAAATCATATTTTGAAGACTATATTATCATTTCATGAGGATGTGATTTTTTTTCTAGGTCAATGGCTTTCCGCACACCAAGAGAGATAAATAACACAACAGCTTTGGCCACTCGATCTTTTCTCTGCGGGGTTTGTCGCACGAATCATTAGAAATCGGCGGAAAAATTATATCCCAACCTACATGAACTCTAAGAAACGAAGATATCTCACAATTTCAATCTGTCGTGCACGCAAATACAGCGTTAATTCTCTAAAACTAAACCCTTGGGATGTATTTCTGTGGCTAGAGATAAGTTGGATACATAAAAATTGGCCTTATTTCAATTCAAAGTGAACCATGATGGACAACTGAACGGGAAGCACGCACGATACTTTCTAAAGAGAGCTGATATTGTCTTTCCGTTGATAATCGGCAGAGCCAAACCGGCTTCTCTAGTGCAAGCAAGCAATTTGTATTTTGCTTAATTAACTGTTAGTAATGATTAGATTGGAATGTTAGATGGTCGGTTTCTGTCTGCGGTTGACCTTTTTTTCATGGGAACTGTTTTCGCGGTGCTGTGTTACCCAGTGGAGAGACCAACGTACGAGGGTGTTTCCTGTGTAGTCAAAGCTGTTTTAAAGATTGTTTTGTTCTTTGTGTCGGAAAACACACCACTCAAGCAATTTCCATGTGCCTTTATTTTTTGTGAACCCTTTATTTTTTATGGACGCACATGCTAATAAAAATCACCTCAGTATCAGTTTGTTGTAAATCCAATTTCTGCCCTTGTTCTTTATTTGAGGGAAAACGTTTCCAAAACATACGATAAGTCGGCTCATGTTCAGACTATCAAGTAAAAAACGCGACTTCTGTTAAAAACGCCACAACTTGAACGATGAGAATAAAAAACGATAAAAAAATGCAACATTTACATTCAATCACGATCAAGATGAAAAATGCATTGAAAGTTTTCTCAAGAGAACAAAATTGACGGAGAGGGAGTCTCGTAGATACGTCAATTTCACTTGAGTTATTTGTAGGTAATCTCTCCGACGAGATTGTGTTGTTCGAGACTTTCGCGTAAACGCAGAACTTCCCACTTGCATTAGACGTAGATAAGTTCCGCGGACGGTGCTTCAAAAATCTTGGACTGTATACTTTCGCTCAAATCTGACTTTAATCTTCGCAATTCAACATTACACGATCCCGACCGTTCTACGATTTTTTTTCGTAAGGTTACAAAAATGCTACATTTATTAGTAAAGGAAGTTCACACCCATATGCCCAATTCCGGGCGCTAATTCGTTTTTAAGGATATCACTCGCGATGCGTGAAAAGGCCAAATACTTTTACGGGACGGAGTTCTACAGAAGGGTATAGGGGAACCTCCGACGAGCAATGATTGAAAAATGTTATGTCGTGCATGTTCAGTTTTTGCTGACTCGGCAGAGACCCTAGTTTCCAACCTCCGACGAGCAGTGCTTGAAAAATGTTATGTCATGCATGTTCAGGTTTTGCTGACTCGGCAGAGACCTTAGTTTCTGGGAGCAATTTTTAACGGGCAAGAAACACCAGTCTGTGAAGTAAGTGGAAGATTTTTATTTTATTAGAAAGAGAAGTAATTGCCAAAACGCAACGAAAATGTTTAGGGATGGAGAGTACTTCCACAGATTGTGAATGATCAAGTTTTAATTTTTAGCTAAAAATTAATCAAATTACGACTTAGTTAATTTAACTTTAACTGTAACTAGACACGTTTAACTGTAACTAGACACGTTTAACTGTAACTAGACACGTTTCTTGTTTAGAGTGCTTAAGACTTTCCACTTTCTTTCTTGGTTTCTTTGCAACAAACAGAAATTATCAAATGAAAAATTAGATGCAAACCCATGTCACTGAAACCAATAAGGACTGATAAAAGCGAAAACCTTTGTACGTATCATTGGATAAAAGCGATAAGTGACGTGCACGTAGTTCAAATTTCGAAATATTCCCAGTTAATAAATAAATTTGACAAAATATTCGCGTACGTGCAGATAGACTTTGATCAGGCTTGCATCTGTAACTTCAGAATGGCCTTGACAGTTTGACCACTGGGGGCCCATTAGACAAGCGACGAGTCTGGTTGTTTATTCGAAATATAAAGGAATGTATGGGAGAATATTGAAGAGTCTTATTATCGTAAACTTCTATCATGAAATGTCTGAGTTAAAGCTCGAAATAAATGTAAACCTACCTCACTTGCTGTGAATTGTCGTTTTTGTGGCTCTAAATGGCGAATTTGAGCGATTTGGTGGGTTTTGCGTCGACTGTTACTAACGTAACAGACTCTTCAAAATATCAGAGGAAAATGTAATGAATTTGAAATTTTCTGCACTTAAATAGATTAATATCGTCACAACTGATTAGCAATAGTCAGGCTCTGATGTTGCAATTCAATTCCTTACATGTTAAATTAGTTTATCTAGCATCCTAATTTTGAGGGTTATAAGCCTGATCTTCCAGACCCATCCACTCTCATTCATTATTCAATTTGTTATATGGGCATGTACTTTACAGTTGAATTTTATTATTAGGCATAAAAATTTCTAAGAAAAATCTGATTGGGCAAGAGCATTCAGTCAATAATTATACAGACAGTAGCATGTGAAGTTGACATGATAACCCAATATTTGCACTGGATGTTGCAGTTATCATGTAGAGTTCAAAGTCTGTCTAAGTTCCAAGTCCCTTGTCTGTGTTGTATTCTCAGACTTTTGTAAACTCAGAGAAAAGCATTTCCTTTGGCAGATTGTTTAAAAATGTATAATAAAGCAAATTTCTAATTCAGTTTTTGCATGATATCACAACTTGTCAAATACCTTGTGTCAGTCTTATCTACGTCAGCCTTTGGCTTTGGCATATTATACCTCTGACCTTGGTTGTGATAGTTCATAATATCATGCTCATGCTCTTTGCACTTTTCCCCTGCTGAACCGATTGCGTTGATTAAAGTCGGCGTTCATTATGTTCAGCTTAGTAGTATTGTCAAAGACCTTGGAGTTGTGCTTGATTCTCACATCACTTTTGTTCCCCATGTCAACAGCACCTGTCGCACTTTTTTGCATTTGTTTCATTCTACTGGCAGAATCAGAAAATATCTTTTGCAAGTAGATACTGAAAGCATTGTCCATGCCTTCTTTAATCAAAATTGGATTATTGTAATGGTTTGCCCTATGGAATTTCCTCCTGTGAAATTGAGAAACTTCAGAGATTGCAGAACACTGCTGCAAAAGTAACTGTCATAAGCATGATGAAGACTGATCACACTTCTCCTGCTTTAAAAAAATTGCACTGGCTTTCTGTTAATAACAGCTAGAATAATTTTAAAGTTACTTTTGATTATATATCTTATCAGATGTTTTGGTGTGTAGTATTGCTGAGGTAGTTTTTCAAGTTGTGCCATATTTTGACAAGCCTGTGAGGTGAGTCAAATTACAAACAACGTGGGCACACAGCTGACTGCATTTCAAAATAACCAACTGTTCAATATCACAGTATTTGAACTCGCCTTGTGTATTATTTGTACTCTACTTGGTACATTTGGAGTCTTGCTAAATCAGGGAAAATGCCACCAATGTCATTTTGCAATTTCCACTTTTTCTTAACTTTGATTTTGTTTTTGTATATATGCCAAAAACTTTGTGCTCAAAGGTGGCTTTAGCTGTTTTCCCTATTATGTATGGCAACCCAGCTGTAGATGTCAACATAATTTCTAATTTTGATTTGATTTTGATTAATTTGATTGTTCATTAGTTACTGGTGTTCAAATTTACCCAACCTGAGACTTTTGGATTGGTCATCAATTCAAATACCTTGGAGCAATGGCATTTTCTCCTGAACAACTCTTCTTTTTCAAGCTTGTCGCCATTTTGATTCATTTGAAGGAAGTTGTTCAATCATGGAAGAGGAAGTCAAACCATTCAAAGACGTCACAGGACATTGATAGTGCTAAAGTTGTTGGAGATACTAGCCCCACAAGAAATGAAGTCAGGGAGGGATTATGTAATGGTACATGTGAATCTTGCCAGGAAAGAAACCTTACAGGTCTATTTGAAGCCTTTCCCAAAGAGAAAGTTAATGATGATGAGTCATTACTTGAGTTACCTGTTGAAGCCACTGCAGATGGAAAACTTTATGACTCAGTTCAAACCCCCTCAAAGAGCTTAGATGAGAGAGTAGACATGGCTGAGCGTCAGGTCTACTTGTTAAGAGAAAAGGTTTGTTTTGAGGTAAAGGCTGAAATGATTGAGAAAAACACCTTTGATTTCTGTATAGAAAGAACGAAACATGTCCTTGATGCCCTTGAGGAAGATACTTCCAGAATTGATAATATTGTTGAGATGGGTGAAGAAGACTTTCCTACAAAGAAGGTTAATCTATTGCGAAAGAAACTGGATATAGAGAGGAGCTGTGCCAAACAGTTAAAGGAGGATAACCATTTCTTAAACAAGGTGAAATCTGAAGATGATTTTTCAAACTCTCAATGTACTGACAGAGAGCTACAGGTGCCTAAAAAATCTCTGTTATCATTGAGCTCTGAGGCATCATCCTTAAACTCAGTTTCTTCGAGTCCTTGTGATGAAACAAGAGCTATACCAGAGCACTCCTCAAGGTGGTCATCATCTGCATTTGAGGAGAAAGCTATTAAACTGAAAGAGAATACCTATCAAGAAGGATATGCCAGTGCTATGCCTTTATTTGATAGTTCAACAAAGTTACAGGCTGAGTTTCATGGAAAGTCGAGTAATGAAGGTGGTTTAACGTCAAGGGAAGATCATGACACTGAAACTGTGGTTGTGGAACATAGCATTCAACAAAAAGACCAAGAGTTCATACAAAGTAGACAGCCAAATTGTATTTGTGCTTGCTGTCAGAGCAAAAATATTGTTGTTAGCCAGTTGCAAGACAAAATTATGGATCTTCTTTGTTAAGTTGATGAATTACAAGATGAAACTGCATTCTATCAGGATCGTTGTTGTAGACAAGAGGATAAAATAACTCGGTTGAAAGAAAATTTGTCTCAAATTAAAGAAGAAAAACAAGGACTTGAAGCTGAGGTGGGAAGACAGCTATTTCTTGAAGGCAAAAATAAACGTTACAATAGGATTTATCAGTCAGTTACTGAACATGGTGGTGAGCAGGCTATATCTAATACAGCCAGAGGTGCCTCATTTGATGTGGATGGGGAAGAACTTCGTACAGCAGGTTGTTCTGATGATTCAGGTACTAATTTTTATGTACATGTAGGAGAAACTTCGCATTCTGTAAGTGTTTTGCTGATGGGCTGGAGTGCTTTGTTGTTACTAAATAAGATTCATTTTATCTGCATGTTCTTATAGAAACTCTTGAGTTTGCCATGTTGAAATTAGAGAATACATGAAGGTTTTTTTCTAACCTCTTTTCTGTTCCCTTGCACTCATGGAATAAATTTGGTTCTTTTTCTGAGAATGTACAGTGGGTCAGCACAGAGCTGTAGAACTCTGTCTTGAATAGTTAATTCAGTATGATAGTTTTGATTTAATGTGCATATAACTATGGAAAGGGTTGCGACAGGGGAGGGGTTCCTGATCCTGTTTCTTGCAAAAATTTAGAAAAATCCATTCTTCATGTGTGCATTTAAACACTTTTTTTTATATTTTATTTAATTAAATTTAATCAAATTTCCAATTTTTACAATCACAAAGACAATTAAATCAATCAATTGCTCAATCTGATGTAAGCTTGAAACAGAGTACAAGACTCCTATAAAATGAAGCCACCTATTATTACATCATACATATATCTAAAGAAATAATTAAGCAATGAATTTCAAAAAAACATATATCATTCAAAAAGATACAATTTAAAATTAGAAAAATCCACATTTAACTTATCATAATAAAGGGCCATCAAATTCTGACAAAAGATTGACAAGGTATTTGACTCTCTCATAGTAAGAGGAAATTTATTCCTAAGCAGTTTGGTACAAAAGCAAAATGATATATTGAAAATGTTTAGCTTCTATGTATTCTTAAGATGCTTAAAAAAGAAGACTAAATCATCGATTTCTCTTCGACACTTCAAACAAATTTAAGGTACAATAAATTTCAAGTATGTAGGCCTGCATTGAACTTCTTCCAAATTGTTGATGTTTCATTTGGTATAAGGTGACCATACTATGCTAGCACATTCAAGGCATGAGCATTATATAGTAATTTCTCTATACCAATATCATTAATGTTCCTGCATGTTCATTAAAAGACATTGAAGCAGTCTTTGAGGCTAGAGGAGACGAGATCAACAGGATTATTCTAGCTTAAATTGTGGCTAACCAAAACCCCTAGGTCTTCCAACTTTATTCCACCAAAATAACAGTCCCTATCAGCAATTGATCTGATACGAGCTACCCTTGAAACCTTACTCTTTTTGGCATCAAACTCCATTCCCCAAATTTGAGAACACTGTATTCAAGTCATCCTGCTATCTGTTGCCATCATCCTGCCCAAGAATTAAGCAAAAATACTTAGAGTCATCAACAAAGAGCGGTAATAATGTCTCTTTTGAAACTGCATAAGGTATATATCATTGATAAAAAACAAAAACAGTAAAGGTCCTTATATAAATAGACCCTTGCAGGACTGCAGATGTAACAGGGAGAAAATCCAACTCATTATCTATCACTACCCTGTGTCTTCTACCAGATAAATATGAGCTAAGCTAAGCTAACAAGGATCCACCAATACCAAAGCATTCAAGCTTAAATAAAAGTTTTTCACGAGACACAGTCAAAAGCCTCAGAAAAATCTAAATGTCATCAACTTGTCTCCTCTCAAGAGCATTAGCAAATTGATGAACAACTTGAGATAGTTGAGACACTGGATTTTCCCGGTAGAAACACATGCTGCTAGAGATCTCATTGTAAACTTGTCTTTCCAAGATTTTAGATAGAACATCAAGAAGCGAAATGCCACAGTAGTTTGAGACCATTGTATTAGACTCACATCAATAAATAAGGACAAGATTTGCATCTTTCCATTTTTCTGGAAATGTCCCAAGCTCTAAGGACAAATTGAATAGTCTGCATAATGGAGGTGAAATTTCATCAGCACATGCTTGCAATAACTTACCGGGAAGACCCAAGGAACCTTTGTTAACATCAAGCAATTGAAGCTGTCTAAGAATATTGCTAGGGCTGAGGTGTACTTTATATAATTCATGTTTAACGCTGTGGGTGAGTTTGGGTAAACATACAGTAGCATTGCTTGAGTCAGGTGGGACAAAGACTGATCAAGTGAAAAAACAGGTTGAATAAATTAGCTTGATCAATAGGTCTGGTAGCCTCTACCAATTTATGTTTAATTACCCTAGGAATTCTAGTAATTTTAGTAATTGTTTTGTAATATCACCAGAATTTGTGAGGATTGTCCCTTAAGGAACAACTAAGTTCAGGGGGGGGGGGGGGTGACTACTCTGAAAACTACAAATCTCACTTAACCTTGCCTTTCTGTGAAATCTGCATGTCACCTTGCCACTCTCTGTGGAGTTTCACCACAAAGCTGCTTTAATTGTACTCCCTGGAAACATATTCTGTGTTAACACTATTCAAAACTGAAGATTATCCATAGAGATCCTGAATTTGTGACAGATACAATCAGAGATTGGGAATGCAAAACAGGCATATGGGCCTATGGCCCCTGACTTTCAAAAGTTATGGGCCATTGCAGTGATGGGGTGGGCTAGAAGAAAAGAGACAGATTTTATGTTGGTGAGGTCACTTTTGATAACCCATCAGTTGCACAGTACCCTGCAGTTGACGTTGTAATGAAATAGATCAATTCAGGTGTCACTTGAGTTAAAAAAAAAAAGAAAAAGCTTAATGCCTGTCCACTTCAGGTGAAAAACAATCACTGCACTATATAGAACATATTTACATCATTACTCTGTTGAAACAGTTACACCAGCTTGCACCTTGTTTCTTCAACTGTAAACTGACCATACACTTGCTGCAGACTCAATTCAATCCAAGGGCTCCAATATATTGCTTAGCTGAGAAACGTCTCTCATTTGAAGCAAGCCGAAGTATTTGTATTTATAAAAACTTCCAAATTGTAAATTAAGTCTAGAATCACTTGAGGGTTAGTCACCATGCTACTAAATGCAAAGTTGATGGTAAGACCACAATGTTTCAGGTAATAATTAAAATGAAGTCTATCTCGACAAAATTAGTTCAACTTGATAACAGCTCATTTTAGGTGTTTGCATACCTGGGAGTTATGCAGTAGTGAGAGAGAGTAAAAGAGAAAGACAGGGGATTCAGGCATTTGTTTGTTTCATAATTCCACTAATGATCAGTGAATTTCTCAGGTTTTTCTTTTTATTTTAATTTGGTGGTCACCAAGTGGCAACTGTAATTAAAAGTTTGGATGCAAAATAGGTTTTACTTGTCATGGGTGTGGCACATTTTAGGCCTCATGAGTGGAATTTTGATATACCATTTCCTTTACTTGCGTGCCATATGTAAAGGGCACATGACCTTCCCAATTCCTTGTTCATTTTATAAAAACTTCCATTGCCTGTTATATTTACCATATCATTCTTATTGCTGCAGGTCATCTTCTACAATATATAACTGAAGAGATATCAGACCTACTATCAAAATCAGAGATTGAGAGAATTAAGAATCTTGTTACACCAATAGTGGATCTCGACAGACTAGCCAGGATTAGGAAAGGTTCTGAATTATTTAAGGAATTGGAATACAAAGGAGAATTATCATGTTCTTATGTTAAATGTCTTTTGGAAAAAATCCATCGTTCTGACCTTGCTGAGAAACTTGTTGCTCCTTTTCACAACAGTGATGAATTATTTAAAAGAGAGTTCTATTCACCTCAAGAAAGAAATCAGGGGTATGAAGCATCTGAAAGAACTTGTGTTGTAGATAGTAGAACTTCAGATGAAGTGGAAGAAAGTGGAGAAATTTCTGAGAGTGCTGATATTGATGAAGAGTTCCATGTTGGCAACCCTTCTGGTGGAAACTTTTGTGACAGTGATAGTAGCACGGGTTCCTCTTCTGATCCAGGTAATCCAGATAGCTTGAGTTCTTTGGTAGATATTAATTATGCTGATTCATCAAGTGGAAGATTTGGTTTGGCTTCAAGCTGTTCACAGTCTACATCCAGCTCTGCTGTGTATGTGGAATCTTTGACTGAGGATTCACACCGTGGTACACCAACAATCAGCTTGAATTCTGATCATCATGGTTTGAAGGTGTGGGAAAACTCTGGTGAAAGTACATTTGATACCACAAGTGGTGGAGATGAGAAGCAAGAAAGGTCTGTGTCTTTATCACTGACGTATGAAAGTTTTGAAAGTGGAGAAGTGAAAGAATGGGGTGCTGCTAAAGTGGAAGGAGGAAAAAAAGACGGAAATAGCTCCAGTAGCATCTGTGATGGTGCAGTAAATGGATCCTATTTGGTTCAGCACTGTAATACTGTGGATGTTGTAGATGGTCCTGGTTGTACTTCAAATAGAACCCAAGATAGTTTTAAGCTAAAAAATGTATCTGGTTTGAATCAAGATTCTCTTTCACCTGAAAGCATGCCTCAGAAGCAAAATGTATCACATGCAATGATCTCTGCTCAAAAAGGTGCAGTCCATGTTCTGTCTGATTCTTGTGCAAGCAATCAGTTTAATACATGGGAGCATATAGGGGCTAGACCAAAGAATGCAACTCAGATGCAAAATGTTTCATATACAAGGATCACTCCTCAAAAAGACTCAGCTGTAGATCAGGCTGATTCTTATTTGAGCAATCAGTCACATGAATGGGAGCATTTAGGGGCCAGACCAAGAGACAGAACCCCAAAAAAGGACAGTATTTCAGATTCTTCTTCACTTTTCTCTTCATTGGTTGACCTGGTTCCCCAACAAGTTGGAGGACCTGTGGTCCAGGGAGTGGTCAACGCATTCTTGGCAAGACACTCTGAAGACAAACATCTTCATGAAAGTCTGTATTACAACAATGCAGAGGAGATGTTGGCTAAGGATATGGATAGCATGATGAACATGATTGACCCCAACAAAGCAAAACCATACCTTGGTGACTGCCAGGTTGCTACAAGGTCAGATCCATTTTCTCAACCATATTCTCCTGGTTTTCCCCTGACTAATGAAGTATATACCAGAGCAAATGGTGAAGATGGCTTCCCTTTGAATGACACTTTCAATGGGAATTATTTACTTCCACCTGGACCCTCGTACAGCTGTATTGCAGCTAATACAAGCCAAAACAGCTATTTGAACTCATTCAATCCTAACTTCTTGGGTGGAGACTTTGCATATGATGCAAGAGAGCCTCAACTACTCCAAGATGGGCATTTTACATCTTTGCAAAGGAGTGATTTTCTACAATCAGGGTTCACTGGTTCAGGGTTAACTTCTGCTTTTCCTGGAACTACAGGACCTCAAATGACACATTCTGTTATTGGTACTCAGAGTAATTTTGGCTTCACTGGAACAACATCAATTTTACCTCCAGAGCCATTACAAATACAAAGATCATCAACCACAAATTTAGAATTGCTGGCATCTCAAAATTATGGTAACCAACCAAATGCTTCAACAGATTTTCCAACTTCATCTCCAATGGCAAGGGCTAATGGGTCCGACAGCAAACTTTTATCAGGGTTAGAATCTGGTAGAAATACTCATTTGTCACCAGTCTCTTCAACTGGGGACAGGGTGAATACATCTGGACAAACGAACTCAAACAGCATATCAAACACAGTGGGTGATTGTTTGGCGTCTGGAACCTTCAGGGAAGGAAACAGTGCAGATGCTTCTTCAAGCTCTGGCTCAACATTTGGTGCTAATACAGGAGGAGATCATGATCAAGGATTTGGCCAGTCTGGAGGTTCAGTGTCAAATGGAAACTATGGCACTGAATCAGTGGAGTCAACTGACAACTCCTTGCTTGAATTGGAACAGCGTGTAGAAGAGGCATGTGCTATGGTGGAAAGAGTGCTTAGGGAAAGAGAAGAAAGAGAACAGTTTGGACGAGAAATTGAAAGGAAAGAGCGTGAAATACGAGCAGAAAGAGCACGGAAAAAAAGAGAAAGGGAGGCAAGGGAGCTAGAGGAAGCCAGAGGATGGCCTCAACAGCAGGAACCAGTGACTGGACAGTCTTTGTGGCTTTGTGAACATTATCAACGTCATTGTAGAGTACGATTTCCTTGCTGTACCAACTTCTATTCCTGCCATCGTTGTCATAACAACTCCAAAGAATGTGACAATGAGGAAGCTAAAGCAAGTCATGCAACTCACCTTAAGTGCAGCTATTGTCATCATGAACAAGAGGTAAATGAAGGATTATTTTTACATAATTTTACATCATGATTATTATACATTATGATTTTTCTTTCATTAACTTTTGAGAAAATTCACTTCAAATCAGATATGCTGCACTCTAGACCATAAACATGAAGTGTCAAAGACATTATTGCTTGTTACATGTATATGAGTGCCAACAATAAGTTGTCAAATTTGCAACTTTGGTGACAAATTCAATGACCAAACTGTTTTCAGTTGCCATTATTTTTTTATTTGCTATGGCAACCAAACTGGTTGAGTGTTGCTCTTCATAATAATCATTGCAACTGATATCGATGCTCATATGTAATACTGACAGTACAATCTGGCTTTTAAGTTGAGGGAAAATGGTTTTCCCAATCACCAATACAACAATTTTTTCCTCTCTTCTCAGATTGCTGAAGACAGTGCGAAATGTCGTAGCTGTGGAGCAAAAATGTCTGCTTATTTCTGTGGAATCTGCAAGCATTTCACCAGTATAGACAAAAACCCTTATCACTGTGATAAATGCGGGATATGTAGGTAAGTCCCCTGCACAACAAAATTTTCAAGAAACACCCTTCCATCATGTTGGCCATGGCTGTTTATCCCAAACTCATATCACTGTGGAAGTGCAATGTAAAATGGCTATGTTAGCTGAGAGTAACTGCTGCCTCACTTTCACTGTGTCTAGCCAGCCTTAGATAGAACATCGCCCCATTGACTGTGAAATCTGTACAATTTACATGTAGGGATAATCTATAAAATAATTGATACCAGTCACTCACATGTAGGACTGAAAGACAACAACCCACAAAAACAACTCTTAAACACCTGGATCCACACAAAATGTAGTTAAGGTGGCTCGTACCGGTTTTCATCTTTTTGATGGTTTGTAACTTTGAAAGAATACAACAGAAAGACTGACCAAGGCCAGTTGAACACTTTTACGGGGTTGAATTACATAATCATTGGTTATCCAAAAATAAGTGTCATTTCGTCACTAGCAGTTTCCATGGCAACGCTTTCATAGGCTTATTCAGACGCATTTTTTAGCTTGTGGCTTAAATAATTCGAAAACTAACCCGGTGACCCCCTGATTTTTTTCAGTGATTGCTTTTGGCACTTGAAAAGGAAAATGCACAAAGATTTTTAAAAAATTCTACGGAGCGGAATTTCAGAAAATCTACAAAAAGGGCAATTTTCACACATCGCAAATTTCCTTCCGTAGAATTTTCTAGTTTTTTTTCTGATGATTCCTTTCGACGTTATTATCATATTGGAACAATAAAAAGAAGGGGTCACCGGACTTGTTTTCATGCAATAGCTTTCGTGAGTTTAGCAATTTCCACGCGCGTTCTCGCGCATTTAAAAATCTGGATTCTATAAGATCGACATTTGCTCATGATCTGTTTTAGCTACCGCTGACAATTGCGTGTGCTTGCGCGAGCACCTACGATCTGATGTTTACAGACGTTTACTGCTAAGAAAATCATTAAACAGCCGTCAAAGACAGCCTCCCGAGCTCATCTTAAAAATCCTACACATGACTTCTGGCTATATCATATTATTTTCCTTGAAGTTTCAAAGTCTTCTTCCACTTCAGGTAGATTATCCTTCACTTGAGTTCTTCTTTTTTCGCCGTCGCAAGATTTCATATCGGTTGAATATTTCTTTTAAATGTGAAGTGAAGCAACCTTTACTTCTCCGAAAATCGTCTTCGTTATCTTAGTTTCTATCTCCTGCATTCA